GGTATACCCAGTATACCTGCGTATACCTTCCACTACACCACTGCAACTACTAGAGCAAGAAAGTCCGCATAAGAAGGGTGGCAGGGGAACTGGATGGGTCAACAACCTCTGGACTTTCACCCAAGAGACTGCTGTGTGTGTCCCATGTGAAACCGAAATTCGACTGAGTTATTCAAAAAAAACAATACAGTGCACTAGTATGTGTGGCATGTTATGCTGGTGACACTACATTCTGTTTCTAAAAAAAATGTACTTTTAAAAGACAAACCATGTTTTGTTGCCGAAACCTAAGGACGCAAACCTGAAAACAAAGTGTTTTATCTTTGGTCTGAGCTTATTTTGAAACGAGACTACATGCATTTAACAAACAGAAACTGTGCATTTCCTGTGAAAACTGAAGTTTATTTTGGGAACACCTAATGCATGTCTTGAGCCTAAATTGACACGCAATCCCTAAGCTTCCAAAATGGACGCAAAAGGGATACCTTCTGGATATGTGTAGGGCCGGTAAGCATCTGTAATACACGAATTAGGAGTGAGAATATAAACAAAAGTCAATATAACATTGGTTGGTTGAAAACAATATTCTTTAGGGAAATAAATCTTTAGGAAATGTGCCTGATTATTGCAATGGCATTTCCATTGGGTGAATGCAATTGAATGAAATTATAATTTCAATTATACATTTAACGGAATAGTAGTTTCAATGCTGATTAACGAGGGTAGCAATGTTTAATTGACTAGTCGAGTCAACTAATCATGCACATCCCTAGTCCATACAAGTCCCTTTTGTTTATTTAAGTCTCTACTTAACACACTGTTTTTATGATTTTATGACATACAGTATATCTATATCCATAGATTTGTCTGAATGGTTTATGTACCACAAATCAAAACATTTTCATTTTCAGAGTTCTTAGATTTTAGCACCAGCACAAGGTTATAGTCTTCCACTGGTCTGTATGGTTTGCCATACCAGAGACTGAAATTAATAATCTTGGGTCACTGCTTCCTGATTGTGAGGTCAAGCTACAGCTTAGGGTTAACGCTCCACTATATCCATGGTGCAAACAAGAGCAATAGCATTACAGTGCTGGAGCGTTGGTTCGGCCTTCTGGCTCTGTCACACACAATAAAGCTGAGTTTCACTTGATATGCTATGAACCATCCTCACGTGGATGCCTGGGTGTTCTGTGACCTGTACTGTCACTCTGCTGTCAATGAGCCACTGCTGTGCGACTCTGAGGAAGCCACCTACTGACTTCACACACCCACTGCAATTCTGCTCCTTCAGCAACCTGGCTGTAGCCTGTCTTCCACATTTAGAGCATTCAACCCTTTCCCATGTACAACGCCCAAGAAATGTCACTGAGCACCCATCAATTGTCTGTCTTTATTACACTGCAGTTCTCAACCTAACTTTTTTCCACTACCGTTTACCACCAAACGCACTCATTAAACCCCTGTCATTCATGCTAGCTATATGACCCATTCAATGAAGTTCAAAAAGTTTTACGATGAAATCTATGTGGTCATTTGCACAATTATTAATGCTACACAGGCTGCAGAGTGACACTTACTGCATCTCCATCCCTTCCACTCAGCTAGTTCATCACATAATTGCCTTAATGAAGTATGTTCACTCAGAGACTTGTACCAATGCTGTGACATGAGAGTGAACATTAAGGCAAGTTGTACCACACCACCAACCCTAAGGACAATCTACCATAGATAAAACAAGAATTAAGCTGGAAAACAGTGATACGGCTTAAAGAATAAAGACACAGTGAGACTAAAATGCAACATCTCTTGGCGGTTTATCTCATCTAAAGACTTTGAAGTAAACGTGACAGCCCCTAGACTACAGTTGTGGATGATTCAAAAGGGAGAAGACACTTTAAACCATGTAATGTCAATACCATGCATTACCCATTAAGATACACAGCAACGCAGCAGACATGGCATCTGGCATCCACACATAAACCCATGTGGTTTATCTAAAGAAATACTCCATAAATATAATGTGTGCATCAAAACAGCCGAGACTAATGCATCACCACTTAGTCTGAAACAACACAGTGAACATTTATTCACTCCCCACATTTCTGTAGATTGAGTGAGATAGAGTGGCAAATGAATTTCACAATGTGGAAAAGATGCAGACGGACCTTAAAGATAATAACAGAGCGAAATATGAACGGGCAAAAAACTCTAAACAGAAATATCAAGAAGTGAAATATTCTTTACTTAGACAGCATGAGGTTGAGGAAACTGGATTCTGAATCGCCGAATGGTTAAGCCATGATGCATCACTTTAAATTTCATGATGTTAAAGAACAAGCCTGACATGATTACAACACTATAGCTTAACCTTCCAATCTGTAAATCTATACTGATGGTAGCCATGGATGGATTTTACCGAACAGGTCTATTGGGAAAAGGCTTAGTGACCCAAAGTGTCAAGGGCCTCACTCAAATTACTGTGACATGTACCGACCAGGAAAAAACTTCACATGACTACAAAGAGAAGCAAAGGAACTGCAAAGAGACAGACAAAAAATGACCTTATAGGGTCACAAAAGCACAAAAAGATGCAAAATGACTACAAGAAAAAGGGCAAAACTACCAAGTCTTTGGGTCCACACTATTACCACGCCAGAGTACACCTGTGATGCACCAAGTAGGTGGAGTCTGCACACCATTTGACAATTATTGTAGCCGGCAGATTCACCGCTAAAGTTCAACGGCTGCGTTTACGTCACCAGGACCACACGGCCCATACAAACAGGGCTGGAACTTAGCACCAGCCACCAGCCAAATGCTGGTAAAATATGCAAGTGGCTGCTAGATTTGCTTCACTCACCAGCCAAAAAAAACAATGTTAATGTGTTGAATGGGCGGTAGATTTTGGAACAACCTGCCACTGTGGCTGGTGGACAAAAAAGTTAATTTCCAACCCTGCATACAAACACAATCAAGTCAAGAGAGAGAACTGATGAATGTCACTCAGGCTTACATAAAAATCAATAACTTTACAGTCTATGTAGGCAATTAATTTTCACCTAGGAAAGCTACCATGGCTTTTTGCCCTGTAGGTAACGTCATTGTTGTTTGTTTTGTCAGTTTACAATTATGTAGTTGCTGCCACTGGCTGACAGATTACCCTCCATTAAAAACAGCTTTCCCAGCCATCGCCATTACGTGTTCAGTGACGCACCAGTGCAATGAAACAGAGCAGACCCTGTGTGTTTTGCTCCTATGTAGGAGAGGTGGTGGGGCCTTTTGCATGTCTGTGCCCAGGGGCCCATTGTCTCATAATCCGGCCATGATGGTAGCTCTAATCCAGCTAAGACTTTGCTCTCTGTTTAGAAGTCATAATGTGTTTATGAAGAAAGAAGTTTCATGTACAAACACAGCTGTGTCTACTTTATACTTTTAACTACTGAAAATATAGTAACATTATCACAAGCACATATAAACAAACTCTGCACACACAAGCCCATACCAGCAACAGATACACAGACACAAAATGCCTCAAGATTCCCCCCCATTTTGCCCATGACCGGTAAAACTGACCCACAATAGGCAAAAAGCAGGAACCATCTGCTGGAACAGAAGGCGCTTAAACAATCAACACAGCGTTTAACCTCTTCAGATGCACTGGTGATGTGCAGTAAGTAAGCCTAAATTTACTTTCAGCTTGTGTGTGTGGAAAGAGATCCAGATCACAATACAAGCCTTACAAGACATATGTTTCCATGTTGACAACGACTGGCAGTCTTATTGATACAGCCCAGTTGGCTTAGTCTCTCTGTGTTCTCACAGTTATGTTGTGTTACTAAAAATACAGCCAAAGAGCTGGAGCACTATATCTAGGCCTTTGCAGCTCGGGCCTAGTGAGCACACTATACTGGAAACACCTGCCTCTGCTGACAGAGGGCCACACAGTGGATCCTCTGTCCTACTATGACAAAAGATACTAGAAACTCCTAGAAGAGGTTGTTTGAGGCATCTCTGTATGTGAAACTGATCTGCTGTGTGATGTGTTTGACAGTGTACATTCAATGAGTTAGCAGTTTTTAGTCATAGAAACAGCACTGCACCCCACTGACACAGTCTGCATCTTGGCCTACTTCATTTCCCAGTAAACTACTGTCTCTACCTGCTGCTTCAGCACAAACCCTGATGATTGTGCCCACACCATCAGTTTATGATTCCTCCACAGTGAGCCCATCGCAAGGTAAACGTGGACTACTGTCGCTGGGAAAGGCTTCATGGCTTCAAATCTCAGACACTTGACAGAGAGCCCCAGCTTTGATCGATTGGCTGCATGGCGTTGAGCACCAGTTAGGGAAGCCAGTGTCTTGCTGCGGCTTTTCCACTGAGTAGCAATCAGTCAGTTATCACCCCAGAGCCTACTGTGGCTTAGCTCCAGATTGTGCCTTTCGTGTAATCAGCATTTTAACATTTCAAGCCTGTGCAAAGATAAATACAAGCCAAGCTTTGGGGGGAAAAACTCGCAGGTAGTATGACAACACTTACCACTGTTTTTGGGACATCCCCAGATTCCTTATAGTCCCTTAAACATGTTGAATATAAAAATAAAAAAAAAAAAATCTGTTTGCAACACAGTTTTTGTCTCTTCCAAGTTGTTACTATGGATATAAAGAGACCGTTTGCGAGCCTGTTAAACTAAACATGGCGACAGGAAATGACATACCTCAGTGCCACGGAAAAAAAGAAAATAATTTATATGAAATTATTTAATAACATAAATTGAATGTAATATAACGTAAAAGTACTGTTTACATTTTATATAATTAATAAATAAATAATAAAATTATCCTATTTGGTGCTTCTTCGACACAGGCAGGAGATAACCGTTATGCCACTTCCTGTTACGACGTGCGTTTGGCAGTTAGCTAAATTTACAACTTGTTAAATTAGTTTTAGACGCCTTTATTGTGTAGCTCTCTTAATATTTATGTCCCTGGTGTTTAGGAGTATCTCAAAAGAATCCATAAATGTCTACAAACTGGTGGTAAGTGTTTTCAGACGACCTGCGAGGTTTTTACAAAGTTAAGCTAACGTTAGCTACTCGTCAATGAGAAATTGTTAGCTTTGTGACTCAGTGTAGCTCATCAGTGTAAGAGCTTAATTGAAGATGGTGATTGCTGTGTGAAAGGCGCAAACTGGAGCTTAGCTGTGGCTTGGCACTTAAATATGGGAGCAGAATGGTGTTAAAATATATAAATAGTGTTTGCAGTTGATAGTAAACAATGTTTTTGTCGTTGCTCCTGCAGTGTCAGCAAGGCAAAATAGTCCCGCTACAGTATGATGATGATCTACTATACTGCAGTTGCAGTGTCGAGGAACTGTACTGCTGCTGAGCACATCATTTTCAAAACCCACAACATGAGGTAACAAGTAGCCCGCTCTACATGCTGTCCACCTGGGGCTTTTCTTTCATACCTACAGCAGCCTGTTGAAATAAACATTTATTGCTCACTGGAGCTCTGCAGCGTTACATTTAATTAGCAGGAACACACAGTATAACTAATAACTGTTGGTGTGATCCTGAAGGCAGTGCGTGTGCATCGCAAAAAAAGTCCAGCATCTGAATCGAAACGATGTCGACTGCTCAAGTGCAAGATTTGTATTAGTGCAGTAGAGCCCGGTTCCTTTCTACATGCTGCCCCTATTCGCACCTCAGCTGCTCTGGCTTCTTCAACACAAAATCAACTCAAGTGCTCGTATATAATCATATTTCGCCAGGCCCGCATGATGAATATTGGCCTGCAACAGCCGAGGGATAGACATGAAAGAATAGTCTGTCTCCTCCGGCTGGCTTGCTGAAAACATCGCGAGTAGCCCATTTAATCGAGAAGTGGTGTTGCAGAGGGGGGAATGCTGCTGCAGTAAACCCGAGGATGGAATAATCTGGTTAGGGGGAATCACGTTGGACAGAATAACTGTGTGTGGATTTGATCCACTGAAATAACATCTAGCCCCGTGTGTGTGCGTGTGTGAGAGCGCTATTTAAAAAGTTAGGAGATCATGGTGCTGTGGTGATGCAGAGGGGGGCTTTTGTGTGTCTGTGCGCTGCGCGTCCCCAAACCTGGGCTCGCCGATAGTAGCTGCACAGAATAAGTTGTTCCCCCTCCCAGCGCCTCTGCATGATCCACTCGCTGCATAAATATGATTGCAGATCTATCACCATTACAACAAACAAACGAATAACGCAGATCCACACACACATACACACTGTCTCTCTCTCACACACACATGCACGCACAACGCCGGTTCACAGCGAAACGGAGGAGTAGGCATAATGGTGATGAGCTTACCACTTGGATTCTTGTTTTTCTTAAGACTCTTGCCACAAAGACACTGCAGCATATGCGTTCCTTTGCTGAAAATGTTCCAAAGAAACCACATTGATTTGGGCGAAGAGCAATCCAGTGGCTTAAACACCCAGATATAGATGAGATCCTTGCGGTTGCATAATAACACAATTGGATCAGTTCTCCAGGACAAGGCTACCAATTGTACCATAGAAAAATAGGTATATCCAAGTCCTATGCGTTTTCATTCACGTGGCAAAATATTCAGTATCTGTCAGACTTCGTAACAATGGTGTGTTTTCTTCTTCTGGCGTATAAAGGATGCCTTCTCAAGTAGTCGATAATAGAAAATATACTCTGTAAATTGCATGTGTCGCACCGGGAGGAGACGGGCCGCCAGTAAACAAACACAACTAACGTGAAAACAGTAAAACACGGTGGATTTCCGCGGAGAAAATCATTGCCTATTAGTTCATCACTCTGAGGAGAGGAGGGTGGATCTGCACAGCATCAAAAGCCAAGGGAGGATGCATCCTATGCACAGACTGCTGCAATGATAGCCCCAACAAAACACCACATTGCCGGATCAAGTCCAATTCGTTTCTCCTGTAAACCAGCTGGTTTGGCGAGGTCAGATAACACCAACCTCAGTTTTCATTTCTTATAGTCCCACACTGCAACGTTTCTGTTAAAGCCAGCTTCTTGGCGTGTGTGTGTGTGTGTATGTGTGTGTCTCCGTGATTCCTGGAGTGTGCGTTTCTTCCCTTTGTGGGGTATTTTCCTCAAGCCTTTTTCAGCACCACGCCACTGGCATCTCCAAAAGTACGGTGCGCCTATACAAACATTTGCATGAATTTCCTTCAGCGTCGGACCTCTGGTAGAAATAGACGGGGAGGAGGGGTTAAATTGAAAGATTGGCTTTCCATTACGTAAACACGTGGTTTCTGCGCCGTCATTTCAGTGATGCTCTCGGAAATTTTTATGATCCGACTGAGACTATTGTCCCAAGCCTTTTCCAGCTTGAATTCTTGGAAATGACAGTGTCTGAGAAGTGGATTTTCCGCATGAGGGCATGTGTTCACTGCACGTTAAAGATTCCACATTAACAGCCCTCATCTTTATAACATTTCTACTTGACGTGTCGTTTCTTTGCTCTCAGTTTCTTAAGTTGTTGCAGCTTCGTGCATCCAGATGGGTGTTAACCCAGAAATTATGCACAAAAGCTCCAAAGTCACAGGTGTCAACACTCACCTGCGATAGGTTGGTGGGGATGCTTCCTTGTGCTTGTGTCAAGTCATCTATGCATTACTGAGGCAAGCGAGGCTGCAGAGTACAGAGCAGCCTATAGGGCACTGCAACAGATCACTATAACTCCAGCAAGCTGAATGAATCCAAGATTAGCTGCCGAAAAAATGTAGTCATAAGAAAAGTTAGTGCAAAATAGCAACTTTAAACATCTCTTAAAACTATTTAGTGGTGTACAAAATATAAAATAATGACAGCACACATTTACAGAGCACATTTTTTATCATTTATTTGACACAACATTCAGATGAAATATGTATGTTTACATTTAGTAACTGTTTTGTTCGCTCATCCCTGAGGACAGGGGACCAGCTAGTGTTGCTCATGACAACTGTTTCCACTGTATGACTGCTTTTCTCTAAGGATTTAAAGGTTTTTCCATCACAGACTACGGGAGAAGAAGACACTGTTCTCCCCTGATTATGCCTGCCCTCACCAGGCAGGAGTTGTGGAGAGAGAAAGTGTTTGTCTCTGGTGGAAAGACTGAACTTTGCCTCTAGATACACACAGACAGAGATAGTTAAATTAGATTTGGAACCGGTAGTGTTTTTTTGCGGTTTGATGTCCCTCTTATTGTATGTGTTTTTCATACTTCACATTTAGGATTTAATCGTCTGTCAGCACCAGTCCCACCCAGCACAAATGGCAGAAGTCTGTTTGTCTGCCAGTGTTTGGAAGTGGACCCATTTGTTGCTCAATATAGTGTTGACCCCTCTCACAGGTGTTGGATACTGTTTGCCAGTGAGCCGTCTTCATTAGGCTGTGTTCAAAATATACAAATGACCAGCATTGTGGACCCAGCAGAAACAAATCACCTGTTAAGAAACAGTTTTTCCTTCTTTCTGCTAATTTAGAATTTATTAGTGAGGGATTAGTATTGAATTCTTGCAGCTTAAAGGGACAGTTCACCCCAAAAATCAAAAATACATGTTTTTCTTTTTACATGTAGTGGAATTGATTGATCTTGATTGTTTTGGTGTGAGTTGCTGAGTACTGGAGATATCAGCCATTAGGGGTGTACCATATCATCTCGTTCATGATAATACCGGCATCATTTTTAATATGGTATTAAAAATTCATATCGTGATACTGGCGATATTTTGGCTTGTTGACATATTGATGTCATACTGTTACCCATGGCAACAACAAGCATAGCTGAAAGCGAAATTATTACCCACTCCATGTGATTCCAAAAAGAGGAGCAGCTTCAGTAGTGTGGAACAAACTGTGGCGTCCTGAATGTTTCATGAACAACCCCGGACTTCTCGCACTCTTTTAGTGACTTACCGCACAGAGGGAACTCATTCAGCGGCTCCTCTGGCAGCAGCACAGCGTCTCTCCCTCTCCTCTCTCACTGTGCACACACAGGAGTCGGTGTCGTCAAGTGATTTTGTCATAAACCTTTGGTAATGTAAACCTACGTGATGTTCGTTGCTTTACTAAAAACTCCATATATGTGAATGTGTGATAGTTGTGGTAGCATAACAGCCTGTCACAGGTTACAGCGTGATGATTAGAGGAGAAATGGCAGAGCATAAAGGTCCAGGTGGAAAAAAACAATCATTTAGGATTTTACTAAAAGAAGGAAATCACCTGTTGATTTATATATATAGATCCCAGGGGACATTTATTGTATTTGAGAGCTGTTTAAATGTGTAATTTGTGGTAGATTTTATTTAGTTGAACTATTAATATTGTATACAGAATCTGAATCTCACTCTGAGGAAACACAACTGGTTGAGCCAGGTTCAGATAACAAATCAGAAATTTTGCTCGGGTTTGGTTAGGGTTCAGCCCACTTGACATGCTGCTGTGTTATGCTATGGCCTATTCAAGTGCTGGAATTTGTTATTTACGTGACAACGCCTGAACACAACACAAAAACTGCAGAGAAATCACTTATGTGGAGGCATTTTGATTTAGTCGTCAGTGCAGGTGATAATGAAGCAGTTGGTTTTGTACAATGTAAAATATGTGGGACTTTGATGAGATACAACAGCAAGAAGACTGGGAATTCAGCTTTGCAGCGACGTGGAGAGATGTTGCAGGATGCCTGCAGCTAACAATAACTTTGTCAGGTAACAAACTGCGTCGGGCTGGGGTCGGGTTCGGATTTAAACATCAGAAAGTCTGTAAGGGTCGGCCCAGGCTCAGTTATTACTGTCTCGGAAGCCGCACTCTAATCCACAGACCTTGTTGTGAGCAGTTTTATATAGGAACTATTTTCTTTCTACTGAACTTCAACCACCAACGGTATCATTGCATTAAAGGAAGTGTGCATCTACTGTTAACTCACCTAGCACCACTGAGCTAGCTAACGTTACAGCTCAGCTGACAAGGACACCATTAATGTTTACGTCTCCCACTGTCACAAGCACAAGCCTCTCGTCCG